TTGTCTAGATGTGTCTAATGTGCATGGCTGCATGGATGTATTTCTTTTGCGCTCAGGCATTGTTTTTTCTCACGCCATGGTGCCATGCCTGTGTTCGCACAGGCAAATACCCCAGGATCACTGCCACTCTAAAGGCTTCTAATGCCCATTGGACAATGACTTTAAGATTTGAAAATCAAAACCCGCTGTTGTACCCCTGCCACAACTCAGGATCATCCCACTCATCGTCCTCAAGATCTATGAACTCTTCAGGCGCATCCCCGCCCTCGCTCGGATCGACAGCGGCAGCCGCCGCAGCCGCGGAACTCTGCTCTTTCAGTTTCTCAGCGGCTTTCTTTTCAGCCTTTTCTTTCCGGTTCTTACCTCATTGAACTCACGAAGATATAAAGAATCATCTGCAAAAAAGGGAGTCCAAGGTTCAGACCGCTTTTCCAACTCCGAATTGTACCGGCTGCATGGTCCAGGTCTTCCATCGCTGCCTGCGTGCATGTCAAAGCTGGTCAGCGTGGCGGACACGTGACTGCACATGCGTTTGGTGTAATGTGTTTTTTGTAGGTATGCATATGGCCTGGATCTTTTTCCTTTTCTTCTCAAGGTACGCCTTTACTTCTGCAGGGGTGTTACCATCAAAGCTCATCTTGTCCAGCCTGGCAGTTTGTATTTTAAAAAACAAAACATATGGGTTTAACAGCTTGAAGACACACACCTCGCCGCCAGATCGCGAAAGAAGACGTTGTGCTGCTTGAGGCACTCGACCATGGTCTGGTTAGTGACAGAAACAAACACATGACGTCCTGTTCGACTGCCACATTTCTCTGAGGAGCTCACTTCCTGGTGCGGGATGTTGTTCGCGGCGATTTCCAACGTGTGCTCCCTCGCCTTTGTCTCCTTGTCTCTCAGCCTGAGTTAGGCGTGCATGCATGCGCACGCTATCGGAAGGGACGGTGCAAGAAGGTAGATAGGCCAAGTAACGCTTTGATGTCTTTCTGGAGTTGTTTCACAGCTTCCTTCATTGGATCTTTCTGCGGCGGGGTGTCGTTAGTCGGAGTCGGCTTAGACTTGGCTTTGGTCTTTGCCTTAGCCTTGGCCTTACCCTTTGGAATCTCAGCCGGCTGACGCTCGGACAACTTGGCAAGTGAGCCATCCAACATCTCGGCCACCCCTTTCTTGCTTTCAGCGGAATCGATGAATCCACCTCCAGAAGTCTTTTTACCGCCCCTCGTGATTTCCTTACCTAAGCCAAGCAAAGAAGGAGGACACGTGTTACACCCTCACTATTTGCATTGCCAGTTATATTTTTATGAATGTTCATGAACGTTCTTTAAACAAAAGCAGAGGCACTGGCAAGCCTCAGAGTCTTGAAGACCCGATAGACCCTGAACTGATCGTCGTCCCCAAACTGTGGATGAGGCGTGCCCTTTTGGCCTGGCGAATGGACTGCATTTGATTCAATGGTTCATGAGTCACTGGAGCGGAAACTGGGCTGCAGGCTTTCCCGCAGGCGCTTGATGTACGCCCTGGGCTTGTACGGGTGAGGGTTTACATGGGTGAACACATAAGCTCCAACATACTTCACTTGGATGATCGCCCTGGTTGATAATTTAGAGTTACTATAAGAGTTATAACTATTTAGGCGCATGTGTCATGGAATACCAGAACATGTGATTAAGACGAGGCTCCTTCCGCCTTCGGTGTCGCCAAACTTCTTTTCGATTAGGAACAACGGAAGATCCTCGTAGAGTTCTTCACTGTTCTTCTCGGACTCCCTCAGAGGTGCCGCGTTCGAGATGATTGTGATTGAAAGTTGAAGGTGAACTTTGAGGGCCCGACTCCACAAAGTAGCATTCCACCTCGAGGTCCTTCCTTACAATGAACAGGGCAGTGATCAACTCAGAAACTGTTTGAAAGCGGCAAACACCTAGGACTAATGCATGCAAAGAGCATATCCGGATCAACCAGGAAGTGTTTGGCCATCTCCCACTTCTGCTCATCCGTGGCCGAGAAGTACTTTTCCGCAAGTCCTGGTTTCAAAGATCCCCGTCCGATCCTGCGGTTCAAGGCGTTGTAGGTTTTACGCCTCTCAGCAATCGGCATGTCAGTTTTTGACATAGCAAGAATCTTTTCTTTCTGCTCCTCCGACATGGTATTGACCTGGGGAACAAGCGCTTGGAACATATCGTTCTGAAGCGGCGCTATCTAAGGACCCTGCAGCCATGCTCTTGCGATCAGCGCTAGAAGATGCAATTGGAGGCACTTCGACAAGTGGTTCATCGCCGTCCTGAGAGTGTTTCTGCACGAGAGTAACTCCGACACAAGTATGGGTGTTTAACACAAAAGGTCTTCAGTATCTAGCCATTTGTTTTCGGATAATTATTTGTTTGATGAATCGGCCATCCCAAATCACCAAGAGATGTCAAAACCCTGTCGCAAAACAAGCATCTCATTGGAGCCAAGGGGCGCTCAGGGTGGAAACGGATCTCAAACTCAGATTTTGAAACACACAGTGAGTCAGCCACGAGTCGATGGGAACACAAGACTAGGGCAAGACAGCTCAAACAGTTTTAAAAAAATATTGTAGCAAATCCAAACTTAATTCGTGCTAGCAGCATGCTCGGTGGTGTAGAAGAAGGTTTCTTTGTAGATGGTTCGCTTGAAGAAGGCTCTACAACTGTAGGAGGCCCTTCTGCAAAGGTGATCTTCTTTTTTGGAGGCGGAGTAGCGTATCCATCCAGGCTGTCGGATGAGCCCTTGGTCCTTAAGCGGAGCAGCCCTCCATCTTCCACCCTCCCAACCAACTTCTTGAAAGCACCTTGCTGAGATGTTTCCTCAGCGTCACTGTTCTTGTCCACGCCATCTTCAGCCTCAACTTCAGGGATCATCTTTTTCTTCTTCTCCGCTCCTGTCTCATTTGCGGCTGCGTCAGCCGGAACTTCTGCGACGCCGCTGGCCTTCCTTTCCTTCTTATTGTTCTCAACTGCTTCCATCTCCTCACCCGCTTCTGCCATCTCCTCGGCAGGCTCGTCTCCCTTTGTGGTCTTCTTTTTCTTCTTCTTGTTCTCAACTGCTTCTGCTTCCATCTCCTCACCCCCTTCTGCCGTCTCCTCGGCAGGCTCTTCTTCACTCTTGGTCTTCTTTTTCTTCTTGCTCTCAACTGCTTCCATTTCCTCACCACCTTCTGCCGTCTCCTCGGCAGGCTCTTCTCTGCTCTTGGTCTTCTTTTTCTTCTTCTTGTCCTCAGCTGCTTCCACCTCACCCCCTTCTGCCGTCTCCTCGGCAGGCTCTTCTCCGCTCTTGGTCTTCTTTTTCTTCTTCTTGTCCTCAACTGCTTCCTCCTCACCCCCTTCTGCCGCCTCCTCGGCAGGCTCTTCTCCCTTCGCGGTCTTCTTTTTCTTCTTCTTGTTCTCAACTGCTTCCATCTCCTCATCCCCTTCTGCCGTCTCCTCGGCAGGCTCTTCTTCACTTTTGGTCTTCTTTTTCTTCTTCTTGTCATCAACTGCTTCCACCTCCACCTCACCTTCTGCCGTCATCTCGGCAGGCTCTTCTCCCTTCGTGGTCTTCTTTTTCTTCTTCTTGTTCTCAACTGCTTCCACCTCCACCTCACCTTCTGCCGTCTCCTCGGCAGGCTCTTCTTCACTCTTGGTCTTCTTTTTCTTCTTCTTGTTCTCAACTGCTTCCATCTCCTCACCACTTTCTGCTGTCTCCTCGGCAGGCTCTTTTCCGCTCTTCGTCTTCTTTTTCTTCTTCTTGTCCTCAACTGCTTCCACCTCCACCTCACCTTCTGCCGTCTCCTCGGCGGGCTCTTCTCCGTTCTTGCCATTTGTCTTCTTCTTCTTGTCCTCCTCGTCCGCCGATTCTGCAGACTTGAACGACAAACGTCGCGCTGTCCAAACAGCGGCTGGGCAATCCTTGAGCGTTGTTTGCTTCATGCCATCTGAGCTCTTCTTTTGATTTCGCTCAGCCTCCACATGCTCATCCAATTCGAGCTCGATTTCTCGGGCCAAGGCCTCAGGATCTTTGGCCTGCCTTGCAGCCACTTTGGCATGAGGTTTGCCTTTGCCCTTGCCTTTCCCTTTGAGGAGTTGGATATACGCCAAGGCCATAGCCTTCCCCTTCTTCCCCTTGCCCTTTGACATGGCCTCAGTGGATGGATTAAAAGTAGTAAGCAAAAATTCATGATTTAAACTAGGCGCCATGAAACACACTGGAGTACACACTGGATGCTTATGAGTGGCTTGGTCGGTGGCCATGGTGGGCGTGACAAGTGAGACGGGCCCAAATCTAGCCAAAATGGTTATTGGACTGGAACAAACAGGTGGAGGATACCGTGTCACGCCGTGTCACGGGTTTGGGGGGGTCTATATGGTCGGTGTCACGCCGTGTCACGGGATGTCACGGCATCATGTTTTTTTTACAATGACATATTTTAGATACACCTTGAACTGAAAGACATGATATCAAGCTATCAAGCAGTGCCATCGACAAGAACCGCTGCTGACCTTTGAAGTTCCACGGGTGTTCACGTGTCAGTGAAGTATACTCTGAAGCAAACTGATCGGAACCCAGCCTGGACTTGACCCATGCAGGCTCATCATCATCATCATCATCATCGTTGCAGTGGCCATTTGGGCGATGGCGCTTTCTACTACAATGGTTTTGGCTCTTATGGAGATATATTTTAAGGTTATAAGCTCTCAAGTGTTTTTATAAAATGGAAAACTTTATTTATAAATTGTTTCTTTAAAATATAAAACTTTTATAAATTCTGCGTGACATATAAGAACTTACTAACGATTTGGCGTGGTTATAACCTTACTTCTATGACCAACACTAAGTGCAAACTAACAAGTTAGCATGCACTTAGCTAAGCTGCTAACTTCTGCACGAGCACTCTTGAACGGTTTCCATCCGCTGCCATTTTTGTTGCTCTATACCCGCGTGGCTCGCCCGCGGAGATCTTCGCAGCTCATGATCGCTTGCCTGAGGCTCGCCCAGGCGGCGTCATGACTGCGCACATGGGCCCGATCCCGCTTCCGGACGGCGGGACCCTCACTGCGGACGACCGCGCACGGATCCAAGCGGAACATGCGGTTTCGGCCGCTGTCCGGTTCCGACAGCAATGGGGGCAGCGCTGTCTTTCCTTGAGCGGGCCACCCGAACGACTGGCAGCTGCCAAAAAGCTCGCAGAGGAACTCATCCGAAAAAACGGAACAGAGGGCGGCAGAATCACAGAAAGCAACAACGGGGGCAACCAAAGCAAGGAGGTTCAAGCCCTGCGACAGCAACTGGGAAGAATTGAAGGGCAAATGCAGGTGTTCAACACCCAAATGCAATGGGTCTCTTCAACACTTGCGACTGCAACCAATGCAGCAACTACAGCCAACCAAATGGCAACCCAAGCTGCGGCTGTGGCTGCTCAGGCATCCGCCCTTTCGAAGCAAGCGATGGAGATTGTCATCACGGACAAGAAGAGGAAAAAGGCAACCAGGGAACAACTACAAAGTGAGAGTGAAAGTGACAGCGCTTCTTCCCCGTCAAAGCCACAACGCGAAGGAGATGAAGCACAAGGTGAAGCAAGTGGCCAGGAGGCCAAGGAACAGGAGAAGGGTGATGCTGAAGCTGCAGCAGTTGAGAAGATGGTGGAGCCTGTGGTCAGGGAGGTCAAGCTTGAGGAGGAAAAGAAGGAGGCGGCAAAAGAGTCTGAGGATGAGGAAGTGTCTCCAACGGTCCTGGGCACGCCATCACCAACCTCACCTGCACCACGGATAGTGATTTTTGTAGCCTTTTTGTCATTGGTGCGCTTTGAGTTTACTTTCCCAGCAAAATTAGCAAACATCATACGAACCATACATTTCTTTTTTGGGTGGGCAATCTGTGCCACTGCGCGTGAGGCTGGAGAGCCTAGTGAGCCAACGATTCTCCCTCCAAACATGCAGGAGAACGTGGCCAACGCGGCGGGCCCCATCGAGTTGGTTCTTCATGACTGTGGAGAAGTTGTGCGTGGTGAGACCCCTTTGGATGATCAATGAAGCTGATTTAAAAAGGCTCTCAAGTCAAGCGTCTCAAGATATGTTCAATAAATGCGGTGTGTCCAAACCTTGAACATATGCAATCTTAAGTGTGAACTTTGAATTTGTAAGCATTGAAACCGATTGAATTCTTTGGCTGCCTTGATATTTTGGCTTTGGTTTCAAGAAAGGCTCGCCTTGATTGAACATGTTTCGGAAGGCTCGCCTCCGAACATGCCATGCCAACCTTTCAAAAAGGCAAAAACAATATCCTCCATCAGAATGCCTCAGAACGTTTCCTTTAAGGACCACATTGCTCTGTTGGGGGATGGGGGCGATGCTGGTCACCAAACCAAAAAGATTCGGCAGGAGATGGCCTCTTTCTTGACTTGTGATGGCCCCTGCGGACAAATAATGAGGTCAATGGAGGTGATGGTGGGAGACAAGCCTTATAAATACCCGTTTCTGCACCCATGCGCACTTTTGCAACACTTATGTAAAGTTCGTCCAGGGCTTGGTGACATCATTCGAGAGAGCGAAAAACTCAAGATTGCATTGTATATGGACGAGTGTAAGCCTGGGAACGTTCTTCGACCTGACGCGTCTCGAAGCCTTTGCTGTTGGTATTGGACATTGATTGACTTGCCACCATGGTTTCAGACCAGGGAAAACGGGTGGTGGTTCTTTGGGGCCTTTCCATCCAAGCTCCTTCCCAAAGTTCGAGGAGGAAACGCGTTCCTGTTTTCCAGAATGGTTTCAATCTTTTTTGATGAGCCCATGCCCTTTGACTTCAAAAGTGGGTTCCCATGCCATTCGACGGCAGGAGCCTTTTTGTGCCAGGCAGTGTTGGGAGCAGTGTTGTCGGACGAGAAGAGTTTGAAGGAGCTTTGGTCGCTTCGCGGGGCAGCTGGCACCAAGCCATGCTGCCTATGTCAGAACGTGGTGGGGCATATGTCACGCGAGGATGTAGCCAGTCATGAGTGGCTTGTGCACTACAGCTGCACAAACAGGACTCGCTTTGCCAAGCACACGTCTGCAAGCTTTCAAGCCATGCGTGACCGTTTGGCCCTTGTTGCTGCTGCTGGCAGCAAAAAGGAATTGAATGCTTTGGGCCAGTGCTTTGGCCTGCAGTACAATGATCTGGGCGTCTTGTGGCATCCAACTCTGAAAGACCAGGTGTGCCCAGTATCACAAACCATGTATGACTGGATGCACGTTCTGGTTGCGAGTGGTGGCGTGGCTCAGTACGAGGTCAATGAATTTGCCAAGGCTGTTCAGCAACTTGGGATTCCTCTTTCGACCTTGGATCAATTCTCAAGGACTGTCATTTTGCCCTGGGGTCGCAAAAACATTCCACGAGACTTTTTCCAGGAAAGGATCAACCCTGAAAATGATAGCCATGTCAGAGCTTTTGCCACGGAGGTCATGGTTGCCTTGCCAATCCTAGCCCTCTTCATTGAAACTGTTTTGGAACCAAACAGCCTTCTTCCAGAACACTGTACCTCCCTGAAGTTGATGGCAGAGATCATTGACATTCTAACAAAAATGGATGGAGCAGTTCACTTGGCCACGCAGCTGCGCGATGCTGTGGATAAGCACGGCATCTTGTTCGACAAGCTATACCCTGGTTGTGTAAAGCCAAAAGCACATTGGAAGTTTCACATCCCAGAGCAAATTCAATCCTTTGGCGTCAACATGTCTTGTTTCAGCCCCGAGCGGAAGCATCGGGCAATCAAGGCAATAGCAAGTCATGTGTTCAACGATGCCATCAGCGGCAGCGTGTGCTTGCGAATTGGTTACGATACCATTCAACATTTTGCTGAGAATGACAATTGCTGCAGAGCGATGCACCTTGAGGGTCCAGTGCGTGAGGTAGAGGATGGGGCGAAGATGTTGAACTTTTGGAGCAACGAGGTATCTTCTGTTTCATTGGCAAAGAAAATCAAAACTCCTGTGGGCGTTGTTGCGAAGGGGGACTTGGTGCTGGCCTTGGATGAAAGAATGGCGTTGCGACCACATGTTTTCCTGGAGGCTGTTCTCATAACAGGCCACCGGGTTTTCTTGTCGCAAGTAGTTGCCCACAAGTGGGCCACAGATTGTCTTTTTGAACCAACACCAACAGAATGCTTGGTGGAATGGCGGCCAACATACAGGCCTGTGATGTACACAGAGCGATCTTGTGGCTCAATTCACGCGTGTCTCTCCAAAGTAGACCAGGATTGTCTCACATGAATCCTCTGGGGATTGTTGGGGGAAAAGGAAAAGTCTCCCACAGATGTCGCTAACAAGAATTGAACATCACATTGCATTCAATGTCTTGCGATTTTGAGTTGTCAAATCAATATTGCATTCAACGTCACTCAATATTAAATGTGTTTATATATCTACCTTCAATTTGGCTGGCTTCAGAAATTGGAGATCTCGAAGGCTCGCCTCTTGATCTACATCTTAAGGCTCGCCTTTTGATTTTGAGACCATGTCGAACCCGCAGTCTCCTGCCCCAGGGACTCCATCCACTGTGCGAGGAGATGCGGTTTTGGACGTTGTAGCTTTGGGGGTTGAGGAAAGCAGTGACAGGTGCTGTACATGCCATCGGGGAATTGACCATGAAAACAGCATTGTTATTGTGAGGGCTTCATCGAAGAGTCGTGAAATTCGACGATGCCGGAAGTGCCACAACCTGAGAAGCGCCATCAACAGGCTCTCTGACAAACACGGGAGTTTGGTCAAGGAGTGGTCCAAGGTGGACGCTGGGCTTGTGGAGGCCTTCTTCTATGACCACCCAGATCTCAGGGGTGAAAACCTACGACAGAAACTGGAACAAACAGTCATGGACTGGAAGACAAAGACCACACGGATGGAGTTCAACCAGGAGTCAACCTACATGGATGAAGTTGATTTGAAAAAGAAATACGAATCTCGACCTGAACTGCTGGCAGCCATTCTAGAGAACGCCCATCGATTCTTTTGTCCAGTGAAGAAGGTGCTGCTCTACG